CACACACACACACACACACACACACACAAACACACACACGAATTTCAAACAGAGGGGATTATTCTGATTAAAATATAAATGTATGTAACTATATGTGAACATATTATATATAATATATAAAACAAAATATATATAACAAAATAAAGGTTTCAAAAACATGTAAGTTGTTTTAAAGCATTTTCCATTTCTACCTTCTGATAATAACTAGTGCTTCTTCCTTATCTTAACTAGCTTCACTTAGATGCCAGGACTGGAAAATCAAACATGCCAGAGAGTAAGACTATGTCTTACTCAGCAGATTGGGATGTGGTGGGGCAGTAGAGGAGGAAGGAAAAAAGTAGGATAGCTCCCTGCAACTCTGACCAGAGGAAAAAGCAAGTCCATTATGTACTTCTTGTCACAGGAAGGGCTACAAGCTGGCTTCTGGAAGGGAAAGTACATTATCAAGCGCATATCATTTCTGGCTTCCTCAGCTGATTCAGCAAAAATAAATAAATAAATAAAAATCATTAGGCGGCAGTGCTTCCATGCAGCAAAAAATGGTTCTTTCCAACTTTATATTCAATTAGAGGCTGTCAAGGATGTGGTGACAAAGAGAGATGTGGGATCTCAGTCAAGGCTAGACCTCCATCTCAGTAGAAAAAGCTAGGCATAATGGTCATTTCCACTACAGTGACAAACAGAAATAAGAGGATCAAAGTTCAGGCATGCCCAGGCAAAGAGCAATAATAAAAGGGGTGTGAGTGTCAGTGACTCATGCCTATAATCCTTGCTACTCAGGAGGCTGAGATCTGCCAGCCTCGGCAGAAAGGTCTGTGAGACACTTACCTCCAATTAACCACCAAAAAAGCCAGACGTGGAGCTGTGGCTCAAATGGTAGAGCACTAGTCTAGAATAGAAAAGCTCAAAGACAGCCCAGGCCCTGAGTTCAAGCCCCAGGATCAGCACAATAAATAAAATTAATTAATGGGCTGACAGCACAGCTCAAGTGGCAAAGCCCCGCTTAGTTAGCAAGTGTACCGCTACCAAAAAATCATCATCATCACAATAATACAATCAACCTATCAATAGATTACCTTCACTGCTACTCCTTAGGTGAGAAGATTTGTTTTAAATGACCTGTGGCTCCACCCAAGCACTGAATACTCACTGGAGGTATGAACAGGTAGAAAGCCCAAAGGATTAGAACATAGCTAGTTCAAAGGAACTCCCACATCAGTCAGCAATTCAGGAGCCAGTCATACTGACACAAAGCGCACAACTAAGCAAGACACCCAGAATGACACCACCTTTGGAATATTAAAAAAAAAAAAGACATACCCTCCTCCAAAAACAAAAAATCTCCAGCACTTTCATGTTTTGATTTCCTTCCTTTTGACTCGCACTCCTTTTATTTAATAAATTGAGGGGGTTATGGTTACATAGGTCAGGTAATGAGTACATTTCTTTTTGAACAGTATTAACCCCTCCCTCATTTTCTCCCACTTTTTCCCTTCCCTGCCCCCCTTGACTTCCACTCTTAATGATTAAGTTCATTATCTCACCAACCTCATCTTTATGCCATAACAAAAATACTAATCAGGGGCTGGGAAGGTGGCTCAGTGGTAGAGCGCTCGCCTTGCATGCATGAGGCCCTCAGTACCTCAATTCCTCAGCACCACATAAGCAAAAAGAGAAAAGCCGAAAGTGGTGCTGTGGCTCAAGTGGTAGAGCGCTAGCCTTGAGCTGAAGAGCTGAGGGACAGCGCCCAGGCCCAGAGTTCAGGCCCCACGACCGGACCCAAAAAAACACTCAAATTTCATAGATGTTTTATACAGATTATAAATTACCTCAATAAATTACCTCATGGACCAGATCACCAAAACCAACGTATTAAAGGCTATCAGAAATAACAGAAGACCCTAGTTCTGTAAGAATGTGACTCCTAGAGCTAGAAGTGGTATTGCACCTACCTAGCAAGCACGAGGCCTTGAGTACAATCCCCCATCACCACAAAAAAACAAACAACAACAACAAAAAAAAAAACAACAGAAAAGAAGAATATTGACAAAAACATGCTGAGCAGTAATGCAATCAGGAAAGCTGCCGCTATCCATCTACCAAATTAGAGACCAGAACGGGTAGGCTGACTAGATGAATGGATGGAATGAAAGTAGTAAATGAAGTGCCTTAGCAACATGAAATAATTCACTTGGCTATGTTTGTTTTTAAAAACTAAATTTCACAGCGTCAAATCAATAGCTTGTTTCACAAAGTTGACAATATCTAGTTACTGTTATTCTTTTTCTTTCCTTTGTGATGGTGTGGCGCTCTCACCCAGGGCCCTGTATGTAGTAAGCCTCCACACTATCACTGAGCTGCGCTTCCATTCTCTTAATGGCTTTTCTGAAATGCAAGAATCCTTATGATCATATCTTACAATTCAAGAAAGGAATCTAAAGTAACTTTCCTTTCCCTTTACTTTCTTTTTATCCCCCCTCAGTCCTGGGGCTTGAACTCAGGGACTGTCCCTGAGCTTCATTAGCTGAAGGCTAGCACTCTACCACTTGGGCCTCAGTACCATTTCTGTTTATATGGTACTGAGGAATGCAACCCAGGGCTTCATGCATGCAAGGCAAGCACTCTGCCACTAAGCCACATTCCTAGCCCTCATTTTACTTTCATTGAAGACTAGCAAAGGTTTATTTAATAAAGCAGGGTAAAAGGAGAAGAGGGAGAAAGGAACATCCCTGACATTCAAGGAGTGCAAGTAGACTCTGCAAGTAACTTTTCTATGTTATCCATAACTAATATCTCATTAAAAGTACTTCCATTTAAGCATTTTTACAATCACCACTATCTATATAAAATATATATGCCATGATAGATACTTAATAGCATACAACTGTAAGGTAAATAACAGCATCTACACATTGATCATTAGAATTGTTAACAAATAATCTGAAAACAGGGGCTGGGAAGGTGGCTCAGTGGTAGAGCGCTTGCCTTGCATGCATGAGGCCCTGGGTTCGATTCCTCAGCACCACATAAGCAGAAAAAAGCCGGAAATGGCACTGTGGCTCAAGTGGTAGAGCGCTAGCCTTGAGCTGAAGAGCTGAGGGACAGCGTGCAGGCCCAGAGTTCAGGCCCCACGACCGGACCCCTCCCCCCCAAAAAAGAAAAGAAAACTGCACAGTATATCAGTATATTAACTGAAAGAATAACTGATCATTTTTATACTGGTTTTCAGAAGCTTGAAGGTATTCCTATTCTATATTATAGTCAAACTGCACCAAGTCTTTAAAACAAAATGTATTCAATAAGGCTAAAGTCTGGACAAGTTTACCAAATTCAGCAAAATTCGAGTTGCTCAACCCCAAGTTGTAAAAGAAAAACTGACAAAACTCAAGATAGGGATGTTTCTACTGGCAATCAGCTGATGGTTGATTACTACTGACCTTCAATGCAACTCAAAAGAAAATGCCCTAAGCAATGGGCAATGCAACCAGACACTCAGAAAACAAGGCTCAGACTAGACTGGTATCCACCATAGCAAGAGCTACGATAATTGCTTACTTTACCTGTGCTCCACACAACCTTAGCCAACACACTGTGCATACATATAAAATTAAAAGTTGTCATCTATTTCAAAAAGAAATAAGTAAAGTTGTGTGCCGATGGCTCACCTCTGTAATCCTAGCTACTCAGGAGGCTGAAATCTGAGGATCACAGTTCAAAGCCAGCCAGGCAGGAAAAGCCGTGGAAATTCTTATCTCCAATTAACCACCAGAAAACCAGAAGTGGAGCTGTGGCCCAAGTAGTAGAGTGCTAGCCTTGAACAGAAATGCTCAGGGATGGCACTCAGGCCCAGAGTTTAAGCCCTATGACTGACAAAATAGCAATAGTAATAAGCCTCCATAACTCATCAAAAGTTAAAAGATTAAATGTTCAAGCTGGTATTGTGATACATGCTTATAATCCAGGAGGCACTGGGAGGCTGAAGCAGAATTGTGATGGGCTACATGAGACTCTGTCTCAAAACACAAACACACACACACAGACACACACACACACAAACTGAAAAAGATTTGCTCACTGTGCACTAGTGGCTCATGCTTATAATCTTAGCTACTCGGGAGGCTCAGATCTGAAGATCATGGTTTGAAGCCAGCCCCAGTAGGAAAGTCTGTGAGACTCTTATCTCCAATGAACCACCAAAATAGCCAGAAGTGTAACTATGACTCAAATAGTAGAGTGCAAAAAATGTTGAAACCCAGAGCCTATGCCCTGAGTTCAAGCCCCAGAATAAGTATGCATGAGCATGCACACACATACACACAAGATTTATTCAAGAACAAATTACATAAGTTAGAATAGTCCTGTTCTCCCAACATTTACCCAATTTATACCACCCTATCTCATATTAATAAAAAAAAATCCTTCAGGTGAGTAAATCTGTAGAAAGAGATTTTAAAATAAAAATTTTGTTGCTGAATAACCCTAAAAACATTATATAAATAAGGAATCAAGTAATCTGCACTGAAGTTTAAAAATAAAGTGACTTGGCTAGGTGGAAGGCTGAGATCTGAGGACTGGGCTTCAAAGCCAGCCCAGGTAGGCAAGTCTATGAGACTCTTATCTTCCACTGACTACCAAACAGCTCGAAATAGAGTTGCAGATTGAAGTGGTAGAACTCTAGCCTTGAACAGAAAAGCTCAGGGGCAGTGCCCTGGCTCTGAGTTCAAGCCCCAGGGCTGGCACAAAAAGTAAAAAGTAAAATAAAGTGACTCATATCCTGGAGCCTTAAAAAAAAAAGGTGGAAATTTCTTATATACCATATTTTAAATAGCAAAATGTGTAACAAAATAAAATCATAATCCATGTGTAAACAGACTTCAGAAGCTCTCTAGTTTTAAGTTGCTTTACTTAACTGCTCTTGTAACTTATAAAGATTTAAAGCTAAAAATGCCTAATAAGAACTATTTGAATTTCTTTTACATTATTACCATATATTGAGTCATCTCACTCCTGCCAACAACAGTCCTGCAAAGCAGCTCACCGTATTTCCTTGTCTGAAGGAATTAAAACTCAAACAAACAAAAAAAAAGTCTCAAGGTCAAGAAACAAATATTTAGGGCTGGAAAGGTGGCTCAGTGGTTGAGTGCTTGCCTTGCATGCATGAGGCCCTGGGTTTGATTCCTCAGCACCACATAAACAGAAAAAGCCGGAAGTGGTGCTGTGGCTCAAGTGATAGAGCACTAGCTTTGAGCTGAAGAGCTGAGGACAGTGCCCAGGCCCAGAGTTCAGGTCCATGATGGACTAAAAAAAAAAATTAACATCTGAGTCAGGATTTGAACCCAGGTCTATGTAACTGCAAGGCTGTTAGGATGGGCTAAAGCCCAAAATTAAATTTAAATTCCTTAAGCTGGCCCAAGATGAATGTAACACACCCTTAGGAAAGAAAAAAAAAAGTGATTTGCATTTGAGTTCTCAACAGGAGAAATACCTAACAGTCTACCTTGTTCAAACACCTGCCTTGGTGGAGCATACTCTATACTTTGCAAGGCAGAGGCCAGAGGCAGTGTGGGGAGTGTAGCTCAGTAGTAGGGTACTTGCCTTGCATGCGAAGGCACTGTTAGGTAGAGAGGTAGCTAGGAGGTAGAGAGGTAGGTAGATGCTGTCCACTGCCATTACACAGTATCAAAAACAAATCTCTTTAATAACTAAACTCCAAAGTTTCCCAAGAATAATTTCACATCACTTCAGTAAACAGTATGAAAATAACCAGATCTTCTTTTTGTACTTGTAAAATTAATTAGGTACTTTCTTAGCTGTGAATCACTTTCTAATATGGGGTTGGGGTTAGATACTGACCCTCAAGTACTCATCTTAGAGGAGTGTCAATGGAGTATATACATCAGTTAGTATAACAACACTTTCAAAGTATTGGTAAAGGAAAGCAATGCTTCCTGCCTTGTTTAATGAATCACCCAATGGCAGTCAGAAACATCCTCAAGTCTTTAAACTCCACCCTCTACAGTAGGGCTTTAATCGCAATGGCTTCTTCCTTCCTGGTAATGATCTTTGTTCAGGCACACTACTGGTGGCTGTCCTTCTCATTCAGTAGCAGAGAAAGACTGCCTAAGTGAGAGCACATTCACCCAACCAAAAGAAAAGAAAAAAGCGTTTACTGTACTCTCTTCTTACTGAAAGCTGTATCCTGTCTCTTTGTTGGTTAAAAAGAAAAGGGGGGGAAGGGGGGGACTTGGATTCTTCCAAACTCAAGTCAAAAAAGCAATTCTTTCTATCCACTCCCCATCCTCCAAGATGTTTTTGTTCAAGGGCACTACGTTTCCCTACCTTATAGTAAATGTTTAATTTGACCCGAAGAGCACACAATCCCCTCCCCCTTCCCACCGTCTGGGAAAGGTTTGTGGCCAACCAGAGCTCTTCCCTTCCTGTTGGATCCTCCCAATGTTGCAGCAGGAAGCAACCAGCCCGTAGTGATAAGCAAGCTCGTATTTGTGCAGCGCGCAACCTTTCCTGTTCAGGAACTGGGCCTTCAGGTCTGGCAAGGATAACAGCCACCACCCATCCGCAACCTCTTCTCCCAAGCCGAATAAATACAGAGTGATCCCGGGGTGGATGTAAGACGGCTGGGGGAGAGGCTGGGTGGGGGAAGTCATCATCGGCCTGTCGGGGTCACTGCGACAAGTGCGCGCGCGTGGGTGATGGACAACCTTCCCTTGCCCGCCCTCCCTCCTTCCCTCCTTCCTTCCCTCCCTCCCACCAGCACTGGGAGCTCCCGAACACCATCTGAGGAGGGAAAAGGATAAGCCAAGAGTTGCCGATCGGCGGGGAGGGAGGGAGGGAAGGAGGGAGGGACAGTGCGAGGTCATTGACCTCGAGAGCGGTGGGAGGGGGGGGAGATGGGGGGTAGAGCCCCGGCCCCCGGGACGGGACGGGAGTAAGGCCCTAGAGGGGAGGGGGAGGGGGCGTCCACCTGCCCGGGACACGAGTGAAGGCCGAGAGGAGAGGGGGGGGCTGGGGCCTTCGGGAGGGTTCAGGGAGAGGATGTGAGGGGGAGGAGCAGGAGAACCCCCCCCAAAAAAAAAGCCCGGGGAAAGGAAAGACACGATTTTAAAGCCAGCGGCTACAAAGGCCTTGGGGGGTGTCGGGGGGGGGAGGTTGGTGGGGTGCGGCTTAAGAGACTAGCGTGAGGTGGGACCCCCCCCCTTCCTCCTCCCCGCCGTGTAGGGCGGAGACGACCTCCGTGACGGGGGATACCCCCCCCTCAAGCCAAGGGCCGAGGCAGGTCCACACCTCAGTGCCGGCACTCGGGTTCCCCCGGGCGAGTCCCGGGCCGCCCCCCCCCACCCCCCGCACACCCCACACACCCCGAAGAACCGGGGGCTCCGCGGACCGTACGCCAGCCCGCGGCCTCACCTTTGAAGAGGTAGTCGTACTCGTCGTCGCGGGTGCCCATGGCGCGGCCGAGGAGCTGAAGGGGCGGGAGCAGCGGCGGGACCGGGGGGACCAGGGGGCGTCGCTGCAGGGAGAAGCCGAGCGCCTAGCTTCAGCAGCCGGACCCGGAGGAGAGCCCCGCCCGGCCTCGGCGTCACTTCCGGAAAGCCCCAGCCCTTCACGGGGGGGAGGTACTTCCGGAGACGCGATGCCCCGCCCCCCCCCACCCGGAGCGTAAAAAAAGGCTGCTTGCGCCGGCGCCGGGTGTCACTCCCTCCACCAGAAGGGAAACTCGGTGGGTGAGCTTGTGGTTTAGATTCTCAGTTCATCTCCGTGGTAGCGGACCCTGACTCTTCCTTGCACACGACCATGCCCAGAAACAGAGCGCCGGAAGATCCCCCTCGCTTCTTAGTAGTGGGGTTTGCGGATAGGGTTTGGGGAATGGGGTGGGGACGGGTTCTTTAAGGATTAGAGAGTGGAAGGCGGCATCCACACGCGTGGTGGTTCCATGGTGTAATGGTTAGCACTCTGGACTCTGAATCCAGCGATCCGAGTTCAAATCTCGGTGGAACCTACTCCTTTTCTCTCTCTCTCTGCCTCACCTTATTTCAGATATAATATTTACTTTAAAAAACGGTGTCATTTCTGGCTTTGAGTAAATACAACCATTGAAGACTTCCCAAATTTCCCCCGTGAGTACACTCGTCAATTCCAGAACCGTCTTCCACCTGGGGAGCTAGTCGTTATACTCCACACGTGCTTTTTCTTTAAAGTTTAAGCAGAAGTTTCAACGCATTTCTTGCTTTTTTTGCTTCAGTCACAGACTCTTCCTGGGAAATCTCCCCTACTATTTCCAGATGTCAGCACAGATCTTCGCCCACCCTTCTCATCAAGATTCAAGAACTTCTTGAGTTCTGTTTGTTAGCCTCTAAACCAGGCTATTTACATAATGATTTAACATACAGATGCTGACAATTTTCAGAATTGACACTGGTAAGACTTGATTTTTTGACTGATTTGAGCTAATCATTCAAATGATTTGCTAAAGATCATTCTGCTCCTGGGGCCTCCTTGTACTTGAAGGGAATCTCTAATCCCCAAAAGCTTTTCTCCACTTAATGTCATATGCTAACTATGTGCTAACTCTCAATTTAGACTTTTGGACAAGACTGTCTAGCAGGCAGAATTATGGCCCTACCATGCCACCATCACCACAATTTTGTCCACTTTCCACTTCCTGGAAAACAAATATTAGATTCCATGGCAAAGGGAAATTAAGCTTCCACATGAAATTAAGGTTGCTAATCATCTGACCTTAAATGAAGACATTATCCTTGATTATGTTATTAGTGTGAGCCCAGTATTTTTGTAAGGGTCCTTTAAAACAAGAGAAGGGGTGCTGAAGATACAGTTCAAGAAGTGAACCCCTGAGTTCAAACCCCTCTATGGGGGGGAGGGGGGCGGAGGAACCCACCTGTAAATGTGGGACAGAAAGGGTCAGTGGGATGAGATGGGAGAAAAATCTCAACCAGCCATTCAAGCCTCCTTACAGACAAGGAGGGGCAGGAGCAGAGGCTTCTGGAAGCTGGGGCAGGCACCCGAACCGAGTGTTCCATAAGACCTTTTGAAGGAGCTGTAGGAGTGAGAATCTTTGTCAAAGGGGTTGATTGCCATTTTAAGGACAGCTGCCATCTTATCAGAAGTTTGTTTTACTTAAGCCATATCTCTTTATCCCAAACAAGTTCCTGCTTTGGTTAGGAATCTTGGTTTTGGTTGTTTGATCAGAAAAAAAGTTTAAAACCCTTTCAGACTAGCCAGTTTCACAAGATTGTGAACATATTCCAACAAGGGGCAATCACGAGTTAGAGATAAAACCTAGGCGAGCTACTCCTCCAAGGGCATTTGCTTAGTTGGCTCCCAGTCAATAGTATAACCTTCTGTGGAAGTAAAATCCAGCTTTGCTGAGTTCCTTTCAAGTTGGTGCCCTTACACCCCAATATCCCAAGACATTGCCCTGATTTTAGCACAGTGAACCCATATCAGGTTTTTAATCTATAGAAGTATAAATAATACATTTGTCACACATGTAATCCTAGCTACTCAGGAAGCTGAGATCTGAGGATCACTGTTCAAAGCCAGACTGAGAAGGAAACTTAAGAAATTAAGAAACTTAATTCCGGGGCTGGGAAGGTGGTTCAGTGGTAGAGCGCTTACCTTTCATGCCTGAGGTTCCATTCCTTAGCACCACAGAAGCAAAAAGAAAAAAGCCGGAAGTGGCGCTGTGGCTCAAGTGGTAGAGCGCTAGCCTTGAGCTGAAGAGCTGAGGGACAGAGCCCAGGCCCAGAG